CTCGTGAATATGTGGGTTCGTGACGCGGGTGTTTCCTGTTCTTTTGTTTTTGTTCTTTTCTATTCTTGAAAATATCAAGTGCAAGTTGATAGCGGCACCAGGTTTCATGTTCATGTATCGCGCATCCGGAATGAGTGCACTCGGTTAAGTTTTTAGTCAAGGGGGGGAGAGTCCAGTGACCTCGACTCACGGGAATGATGACAGAACTAAATTAGAGAATCCCTTGCATATCTTCGAGACACGAAATTTCAACCGTCTAAAAACTCGCTTGATCTCTTGGAGTTGCGTGATTTCACGAGTTATGTTTTTAGCATAGGTCAAAGATCAGATATGGTCCTGTGGATCGATGGAGAAGTGTGTTTGAGATGTGGTAAGTATGAGCACCAAAGTCATATGCCCTTTGTTCTAAATCCTGCCGTATTTCGGTCCATTCCCTTCTCTCTCATCAACGACAACACACCACATCGGATGCAGTCTCGATTTGAGGTAATCAATGGCTGGAATGAGCCAAACACCACATTCTTGTAAAGCTCATTTATATGCCGAAACTTAAGTAGATAGTTAGGATCAAAGGGATGTCTTGTGTTCAAACGCGATACGGTTGATTGCGAACGCGCGACTTCACGTGTACGGAGCTGAAGTAGTGCACGAGCAAGTGGAAAATGAATTAAGCGCAAGCATGGCTTTCGAATCTGTGGGAACGAAACGACGTGCGAGCTACCGAGGGATGAACTTAACGTGATATTGAGAATCGCACGGTCCACCGAAGTGACGTTAAGCCGAATCCAGTTTCGTTTCACTCGTAGGGTGCGTTGGCTTGCCCTTGTCGCTCTTTATCCCTCTTGTGGTCGTGTGTGTGTGTATGTGGGTATGACGCGGTTTGAGAGGGAATAATATGCTCGTGAGAGGTAGGGCTATTAGGAGGTGAGGAAGAGACACATCGATGCCAGAGAAAGAGAAGCCTCCAAAAATGGTTCCTCGGTTTGTGTTTTGCCTTTCCATTGACACTTTCTCACGGGATTATTCTCTCTCTCTCCCTCTGTCTCTCCCCACATCAGAGACAATCACAAGCAGACCTGTCTCAGCAATATTGTCACCTCCCCACATTTGAAATTGTGCAAGCGTAGGCACGGCCGAGATATGATTACAACCGCTGACTAATGTTACCTAAGAGGTGATTAAGAATTTTTTTACTGAATGATGTGGCAACCCATTTGGCATATGCCCATGTCATTAGATATGGGTACAATTAGTAATAATGATGCATAGAAACAAAGGAAAGAAAACATCAACTGGGCAAGACTGAAAAAAGTTGCTGGCAAGCTCAAGAAAACTAGCAAACTTTCCATGCTCAAGGACTTTTTGGTTGCGGTGGGGTGAGAGAGAGAGAGACAGAGAGATGGTGGCTGCATTGGTTGGAGCGGCGGCAGTGGCGGCGATTGCTCTAGCTAGCTAAAGGAGTAGCCATCAACCATGTCCGTCTCCGTTGTGGTGGCTTGTTGACTCTGTAGACAGAGGGGAGATTGAGGCTTAGGGTTTCGAGTGGCACACTTGCAATAATCTGAGTAAAGAGTACATCGACATGACGCTCCTTCAACAGTGCTCTCGTTGGCGACCAAGGATGGGATCGAGGCATGGAGACACACAGCCCCCATCTACTGGCGCTACCAAGAACCCGCCAAGGTGAAAACAAGAACGCCCGTGTATGCGGACTCTGCAGACAACTCACCTCGAATCATGTCAAAAGACAGTCAAAGTTAATAATGGGTGAACGAGGAAGTCCTCAGATAATCATTGCAAGAAAGTATCGGAGCCAAGAAGCTAACTAGTGTTTGATTCCTCCCCTAAACTGTATACATCTATCCCTGATTTTTACCTGTAGAGTTTCATCCCCATCATCGTCTCACAAGTCTTCTTGCATATATCATTATTCTCAAAGCCTTCTTAATTATTTGGCAAGTTCAAAGCCTTCTTAATTTGTAATGTGAACGAGGGGTGAAGAGGGTCCTACATCGAAGTCCTTTTCCTTTAATTATATTATAAGCCAACTATATAGATCATGACATTATAAAGGCTTTTGGTGGTCACTTAGCTCCTCTCAAGAGATAAGTAACCTTTGCGTTATCTATATTTGAAAATACATCGTTGTCCACAGAGACACGCAAATATTCTAACAAAATGTGTGAAAATACAAAAAAAAAAAAAACAAACTGTCAAGATAATATAATACTATACGATTACTATGTACCTGCTTTTCTTTTTCACTTTTAACACCAATTTTGATTACAAAATAAAAAGGTGCAGTCCTCCAACGTATTCATAGACGTAAGCAATGTGTCGATATTACGCCTAAATACTAAAACCATCAAATGATATGAGCGACGCCTAATTTGTTAATGCGTGTCTTAGAGACATCTAACAATTAGCATACTTAAGAAGGAACCTTTTGGTTTTTAGAGCACCGATACACATAATATGAGTAAAGCATTGTGCTGAAAAACTGCAATATTTCTTTATTTATTTGTTTGGCTAGTGCTCATGGGACACTTGTCAACGAAATTTATCTATATATGTAGCCACCACGACTATACCCAAAATAAAATGTTTTGATTGTCAATACCTATGCACATATACCACGAATATATGGTTGTGAACATAGTAACAGGGGTCCTCAGGTATAGAAGTTAGTGATTTGAAATAATGATATAATTAAGTTGCAGCATATCATGGAACAGAAGGGGTTTAATACAAAAAGGTTGTAGAAAGTATGATGGGGTATGCACCAAAATAATATGTTGTTTTCGATACATATGTACTATTGTGATTCTCTTAATTTAGGAGGTATATCAAATTTCAGTTTATTCTCATGAGAAAAAAGTGGCATCAATAAGCGTTCTAACTTTTAAAACTTACATCCATCACCATGTAATCCCCACTCATGAAAATGGACTTGTAATAGCACCGTCGATTTTGACTTAATATGTGCATCTTAGGATTAATTTGACCAATTTACAATATTAACATTCAATTGATTGGTCAAATATCTTTAAGTTACTATCCTATGGTCATCTAGGTACGTACTCATTCTCTTCCACGAACTTTATACGTAGCTCAATATGCATGTATATATATCAAAGTAACTTCATGTGAACAAGTATATTCTGTCAAGTGAAAAGATGTTATATATGTCATACAGTAAATCTTTCTAAAGCAAACAATTGTGAGTCGAGATTTGCTTAATTGATCATCCTCAATATTTTTTAAAACTAATCGCTCGCATGTATTGACCTACGCATTTCAATGATTTATAAAAAGATGGGATAATGACACAAATGATCCCTAAAATTTGGCCTAACGTGCAATGTGGTCCCTAAACTTTTAATTTGTTCAATGTGGTTCTTGTACTTTTGGTAAATGTTCAAACTAGTCCTTAGACTATATAAAAATATTCAATGTCATCCTTCAATTAATTTAAGGTTATGGATAATATTGAACATTTTCATATGATATTTGAATTAGTTTGAATATGTACCAAAAGTTCAAGGACCACATTAAACAAATTAAAATTTCATGGACGATATTACATATTGGGTTAAAGTTCAGGGACCACATTAAACAAATTAAAAATTGAGGGATCCCATTGTACATTTAGTTAAAGCTCAAGGACCATTTGTGTCATTTTCCCTAAAATGATTTTGCCTAATTAGGCTTGTGAGTGCTAGTATGGTTTAGGTCACTAGAGTAGATTCTCCAATAATTTTCTGCTTTCCGCTCATCATAGTGAATCGATCTATAAAATATTATTATGTGCACAAATTAAAATCTAAATAATTATGTAAAGAGGCACGTAAACGGGTTGAAATAGACTATGGAGAGAACATTATTATTCTTTCAAATTTGCATGGCATAGTTTGTTTTTGGAACTATTTGGCATATAAGTGGATAACTTGATTTACTTCAACATATCATTTTAGTGAACAAATAGAAGTATGTAAATCAATTAAAAAATCAAAGCTGGTAATAAAAAGAGTTGGTAATTTAGTCTAACAAAAGTTTGTAATTCACTCTAGTTTAAGTTGATAATTTCAAATATGGGTTAGCAAATTTAAAGCATTAATAAGTTATGCAAATAAAAGCTGGTAAGTTTATATAGAAATTAGTAATTTGCAAAGAATAAAAAAGTTAATAATTTCATAAAAGTATCGGTAAGTTATCAATATGTTACTTTAAAAAAACACTGATTTTTTAATTGATAGTTTTTTTTATACTGGGCAACACTTATTAAGATTTATCGGTACGAAAGAAATTATACTTTTGGACACATAACAATAAAATTCTGCTCTTTGATCCGGGGTTTATACACCTAACGTGGAGTTTCATAATACATCATTATTTTATCTTCATTTCTAAGTTTTTATAGGTTCATAACACATTAGTACAAAAAGATGTTATCATAACGTGTAGATCAAACCAATTTTGATCATGCCAGCCTTACGATGAGACCCACATAATTAATGATTAAAATGCTATTGGTTCACATGGTTTATAAAATCGTGCAAAGATCTTTATAATGGGAAAAATTACCCAATCAATCATAAACCAATTGTACATATGTTAATTCAATTATAAACTTTTAAATTTAGCCTATTTAGTCCAAACTTTTTGCATGAAATTCCAATGTAATTCTCTCGGTCAATTTTCGTTAGAAATCGCTGACGCGGTAGTACGGTCATCGTTGGCCATCCTACAGGGCACACTGCCATGTTATCAATTAGCCGAAAGAACTACATTGTAATTCGCACAAAGGTTTATGACTAAATTGGCAAAATTGGTAAGTTTAGGACTGAATCGGCATCCGTATAATAAGTTAAGGACATGTCCAGCAATTTCCCCACAAAAGGAAATAAAATAATAACAATAGAAGTTTTAATGGATTTTGCAAGCTCACCAACCTTCCTATTTATAGGCCCCCCACAGCAAGAGAGAGATTAGTAATAATAGAACAAGAGATAGAGTGAGAAAGCAAGTCAAGAAAGAAGAAGAAGAAGCAGCAGCATCACCATGTCTTCGAGGGAGAGAAAGAGAGCAGCTCTCTATCAGAAGTTGCAGCAGCTTCGCGCTGCTACGAACTCCACCGCGGTAAAGTTAACAATAATAGTCCCCCTCCTCATAATCTGATTATAATCCGATACTGATCATCAGCTTAATCATATAATATGCTCTCAGAATTAATCAAAGTGAAGATCAAATCCAAGTCCTTCCTAAGTTTCTTTGGCTAAACAAACAGCGGATTCAATACAGTTCTTACGTGTGAGCTACGTCGGGTAGTGACTCCATAATTGTTTATCTTCGTTCTGATGTGCAGGTGAATAAGACCTCCATCATAGTGGATGCAACCAAATACATCTCCAAGCTGAAAGAGAAAGTGGAGAGACTCAACCAAGGAACCGGAACCTCTCAGACTTCACCGAATCGGTTACCTATGGTACGTTCACGGACTTGCATGAGAATACAGTTTTCTTTTCTTTTTCTGGATAAAGAAGAACTCTGCTTTATGCAACTAAATTAGAACCCACTAAACACTCCCCCTAACCTCACGAGCTTTCTTGAGATCATGCGCATGAGCTATGCATAAGGGTTTATCAATTTGATTCTTAAGAGGTTATTTAGTTCAAGATATGTGAATTGAATCATTTCAAATCAACGTTTTTCCTTCCCGTGTCTCAAGTAATAAACAAGATCATCTCCACCCCACTAGATGAATATAATTTCCTCTTTCAAGGGACGTGTGAAGGATTATCCAAAGTTTTAGCAGTCTTGTCTTGCGGTAAATTGTCTATGAGATTAATACCTATTACAATGAAGATATTGAAGGACAGGGATAATTTATTCTTGCATCATTCAATAAAATCTGTGAAATTAACTTTCGAAGAAGGGATATGCATGATCTTGAATAGGAGTTGTATAGGGATAAGTCATGCAAAGCAGAGACCCGAGTTGCTCTTGTGTTTTTTTTTTTCTTATTTTCAGTCCGGATAGGGAAAAACTGGGTATAAATAGTTACATATAGATGAGGGACAATCCGAGCGGAAGCAAAGTCTAGCATGGTTCCGCCGGAACCATTTGCCTTTTTCCAAGTTTGAAAGAAAGAAGTATGATCTCATACTATAGAAATTAGCTGAAATGACCTTTTTGCTCGCGCTTTTTTATTGATCTTCATTACTATTGGGTTTGTCTTATATAAATCTTCCATCTTTCAGGAGGTGACAGTTGATACCTTAGATAGAGGGTTCCGCATCAACGTGTACTCGGAAAGGAACTGTCCGGGTTTGCTGGTTTCCATTCTGGAAGCTTTTGAGGAGCTCGGGCTCAACGTTCTCGATGCTAGGGTTTCATGTTCCGACAACTTCCATCTCGAAGCTGTAGGAGGAGAAGTAACTCTTTCTCCTCTCTTCTAACCCCTCACTCTCATTTCTTCTCGAAATAGGGCTTGGGCAATCGTTTGTACTAATCGATTTGATCCCCGTCAGCAGATAAATCACTTTTCACAGGCAGTTGTAGGTGCATCTCCAGTTTATATGTAGATATGACGGTGTGCTAGCGTCGCTTGTGGAAAGTATACGAATGATATTAAAGCTTCTTAATCGTGGATGCACCTGGAATAGAAGTAATGAATATTTATGTATGGTTAAGACTTTTGTATCTTGCTAGGTGCTTCCCTTGATGTCTCAATCAATCTCAATCGCCGTTGATCCATGTAAATGAGTTTTATCTCGATAGTTGGTATAAAGCAGCACCTGGTGCAATAATGTCTTTCTTTCTTTTCTCCCTTCCAATCTGTAGAAATTGGTGCATAACATTTCGAGAACAAAAGCATATATGCAAATTGAACTAACACAATGTGTGTGGACCTTGAAACTTGAAAATATCTCCTAGAAAAGAGCTTGGTCATCCTTGTGATAATTTTCTGCTGGAAATGCCAACGATTGTCGTGTGTATGAAAATTGGTTTAGATTCGTGTAGTGTAGATATCGAGAAAGTTACAAAGAAGAACTTCAAGGCTTCATCAATATAAGTTTCTTGTTCTTGATATGGATAGCTTGGTTCGATTCAATCCGCCTTATATCTATTATGCTCTCTCACACACGTATATGTAGAACTATATCTTACGATTAAATGGAGAAATCTTTTTTCTCCTAGGATCATGGTGACGGCATGGATGCTAAGGTGGTGAAGCAAGCAGTTTTGGAAGCTATTAGGAGCTGGAGTGAAAGCAATGAGTGAGCCAGGACGACTGATGTCTATCAACACTCTTCTTGCTTAGCTTATCAACCCTCCTCTTTCCCGTAGTTTTCTAGCACTGTATCTCTGCTTCCATTTCTCTTGTGCTAGACCATCACATGTAGATGAAAATTTGTAGAGAGTTTCTCCTTGTAATTTCAGATGTGCATTGCCATCCCTAGTTGATGATTTCCGAGAAAATTAGTTCATTTTCAGCACAATTCTATGCTTCACATCGCTTGAAATGCTCAAGTTCAGGGTAGCTACAGTAGGGGGAGTACAATTCCCCACCTTTTCTAGCTCTCTTCTCATCCTTTTTGAGAGAGGCATGTGCATAGTACGGTTTTTACCGTTGGGGAGAGAGAGAGAGAGAGAGAGAGAGAGAGAGAGAGAGAGAGAGAGAGAGAGAGAGAGAGAGTTTTGCAGCTCTATTTATGCTTTATAAGAGAGGCATATAGAGAGATGCTACCTCTCATTTATTCTTTTTCAATTTGTCTTTTGATCGGAGGGAGGCAACTTCGTCTGTAAATACCCCTTTTCACTTTGTCATTGGATTCTCATTTTACACCAAATATAGAGGAGAACTTGAGTATTCACGCCTATGTTCTATTTCTTTTTATTAAACACCGAGGAGGGTCAAAGACATTAGGTTGAATTTCTCTCAGTTTAGGAGTAAAAATGGAATATCTTGTGAGGGATTCCATGATCATAAGTGCTACTTAATGAAAGCCCGTAGATCAAATCAAGTTGCGTGCACCTTTGGGATTATCCGTTATAGTTAAACGTAATTTATGCCGTTATTTAATTTTAGCTATAAACTTGCACGAGATGAAGGGCTTAATCAAGAATTTGTATAGTCTACATTGCCCGTGTGAGGAAAATTTTCTTAAACGGCCTAATCCACCATTGATTCGACGGTTAGTGAAAGATTGAGTAGTTGAAATCCTCAAATCAATGGCGGATAAGATGGTCAGCGTGATGTTTTCTTTCGTACCGGCAGTGTGTGTTTCAATCTTCCCTTCCATTATTTTTTTGACCATGGTATTTGGCACGCCATACGTCTTTAACAAAGTTTTGACCAAGCTCTTTTTGCCAGGTCAAGTGAAGAAACGAATTTTGCTCAAACGAGGCCAAAGGCCGAGCTCAATAGAGACCACATCGTGAACCCGAAAAGAGGCCACTTTGATTGAGGCCGAAGAGAAATGAAAGCCCTTTTAGCATTTCATGATTAATTTCTTTTTTTTTGGGGGGGTCAAATGATTAATTTCTCATACGTTGAATTTTCTACACGTTGACTTCACAGGAAAACTGTATATTTTTGCGGTGGGTATCGATTTTATTTATACTTAATAAAGTATTTTACACCGAGTTTTCTCCTCATTCATTCTATTCACATTGCCTAAAATAAAAAAAAAATCATTTACCTTTTATTTCGCATGAATTTCATCGCGACGACTATTTTCTAGTAAAGGCCCTTTGGCACGCTAATCGATCACTGATTAAACATCTCATTAAACAAATCGCGGCTGCTCCAAAAAGTCATGATTACCATTAATTGTTCATGGTTTCAAATCCTCTTTACGCGTCCGATTCCATTCACGTGCATCCCACTAGCACATTGCAGAGCATGCAAAATCATTATAAACATTGACCAATTCCGACAGACTTCGTAAACAATTCATATGATAAAAAAATAAAAAAATCAAGAGTTGTTCAAGATGATGTAGCTTTTATTATATATTAAGCGAATCAGTAAGCAAAAGCAAGCGTATGGGGACTAAGCCAAAAAGCTCTGCGTGCATGCATGCATCGGCTGCGTTCGAGCGCTCATCTTTTAATTTCTCGCCAGATCTTACCCGGTTCAAATTGATAATTTATGAGGAAAGATAATGACACACTTGATGGGAAATAAACAATGATTATGATTACGGTTGAATATGAATGTTAGTTGTTTATGGCGTTTTAATTTATAAGCTGCTTTAGAGTATCAAACTAATCTCGTGGTCATCGAGTAATTACAAGTAGAGGTGATCTTGCCCCAGGCGGCCTGACAGGCATGTGCGTCGATTGTTCAAGCGGGCTTGGACGATGTATTTCGCTCCATATGGGTAGTCTTGAGCCAGTCCTAAAAGTACTTTCTCTGTTTTGGACTAATAAGATTGGACACGTACGAATTCTCGTTGTGTCATCTAGACCGATAATTGTTTCAAAGAGCACTTTAGTGACGAGAATAAGCGGCTTTCTGGGCCTTTTTATGTACCCAATCCAAGCTCGTTATTGAAAGGCATAATTACAAATCCCAAGTCCCCAAAGATGGCTTTCGAGGAAAGTCATGTTATTGTTCAGTATCCGAGGCATAATTGGATGTTGAATCTTAGCCCACTTGGTTAACTCCTTATTAGCGTTTCTTAGACATCCTTGATATGCCATCTAAAGCACCAATTTTACCAAGCGATTTCTTGTTATCCTAACTTCAAGTATTATATCCTTCACTTCACATCCCTTTGTGGCCCTCTTCTCTGTCCGTCATTCAAGACTCCTTCTCATGCCAAAGTCCAATTTTATCGTATGTAATTAGTTGGGAGAGACCGCCACCAAGATTTGAGAGTCTTTGACTCCTCTGACATTTGACGAGCCCAAGTTGCCTATCGGCAGCTCATCCAATTAAACTATATATGTACTACTTTTCAGAATGAGCGGAAATGACATTTGAGTAGTGTATTTCAAAACATTCTTATACATGTCAGGAATAAAGTCGGATCACTCTATTAAGTAGACTGGTTTGAGTTGATTATCTTGCCAACTCCACACGTGCTTATCCATCTTCTTTAGAGACACGAGAAGGCCTAGAGAATAACAAAAGAAATGAATTAAGAGAAAAGGTGAGCTCCGACAACTTCTTTGCCCAACTCTTACCAGCAAATATACAAGAAAAGCTGATGTAGGAACTAGGAAGAGCCAGAGAAACCCTAACCCACGTTTGGGACGTCACTGAAACTTCCTTTGCTTCTTTTAATTAATCAGCTGGCTCAGTAGAATATCCAATTACGCACATGGAGAGAGAGAGAGAGAGAGAGAGAGAGAGAGAGAGAGAGAGAGAGAGAGATAATCTGTCTGCCTTTTGATTAAATATATCCAAAGTTACCACAAAAAGAGGTCAACCCTGCAAGAGTCCGCTTTCTAACGAATTCATGATAGCTATCTTCTGTCTCCAGGATGCTTTATTTTTAAACAAATTGCAAAAAAATAGAACATAAAGATAAAAAAGAAGCTTCAGGCAACTCATCGAGAAGCAACGTGTCTGTCTAAGAAACCGAATAATTTATCCAATTTGGTTCTTTCCGAGAATGTTGACCCTTGATTATTGGACTGTTATTTATAGTTTTTTTTTTTGCAATTTTTGGAAAAAATAAAGATCCTTCAAATCTTAATTTGTGCAACTTGGTTTGTTGATCAAGTCTTGACCCCGATATAGAGAGAATACCCTTGTGAGATTAGGTGAATTATAGCCCATAATGGATTAGTTAGCTCCTCTCTCTCTCTCTCTCTCTCTCTCTCTCTCTCACTCTCTCTTCCTTTTTTTTTTTTTAAATTTGTAAAGCCAATTTAAATACATACCCTGATGACTCAACAGTGAGTTTTCTATTAAGTATTCATACTAAATCAATGTCGACATCATTACCCTTTGTTGGCCAATGTAATTACCTTAATGTGGAGATAATGAGGAAAATCATATTTAATTTTATGTTTTAGATGATAATTTCTGTCTTCGATAAGACAGAGCTTCATATACAACTCAAGATCAATACTTTATTCGGACATGGCATTATAATGTAAGGGTTCCGTTTGTTGAGATATTTTATTCTTTAGCAGTTCAAGCTTTTTAAAATTAACAATGGTTAGTTCAACCTTAAACTATCATCTCCGGGAAAAGAAAACAACCTACTGTTGAATTTATAGTAAGTCTCGAGTCAGATTATCCATACATCTCTCGTGCTCGTATCGGAAAATGAAATACAAATATCGCCCATTTAAACTTTCAAATAGATAGATATGCACTTAACCAGCCGTATTGGTAAAGAACATCGAATTCTTGGATTGAACACTTATTGTTTTATTTTCAAGAGCTGAGTGTGCATGAATCTAATGCACACAAATGGAGGTTTGATAGGAAGTAGGTCTCGAAAAAGAGTTGACTCGTTAATTGTCGACGAACTGGGACACAATCAAAATCAATCATAGAACCTTAGATAATCACACTTTACATTATATCTCTCTTATGATAGATACCTTGTACACATGGCCGACCATTTCATGCTCAAGATCCCCACATAAGTCTATCCTCGGCTATTGTACCAAGAAGTTTTCTAATTAGCTTTGCTTTTTGTGCTTGTGTTTTTTTTTTTTTCAATTTTGTGATTCTTTAATGTGTTTCTTTTTTACGGGAAAAAAAAATAATGTCATGGAAGTCAATCGGGAATTGCCCAGTTGAGCAATGTCTCAGATGATGTTGCCTAAACAAGTCCATGGTTCGCTGATGTTGACCTTTTCTTTTCTTTTGGGTGCATCGGACGTTGGAAGGGACAGAAGACAGCTTTGGTTTACGTGATTGGCATGAATGCGATTCAAAAGCTTTATAGAAGAACCGCCCCTGATTAACTTGGCCGTCGCAGACCATTAAGTGCAGTGGACCATACACCGACCAAGCACGTTTTGTTTTGGTTACACCCGGTTGCTATAAATTAATCATTTATGTGAAAAAAGCATATCATGTACCGATTATGTTTGCAACAATAATGAAATAAAATCAATCGCTAATCGATGAAGTGATTGTGCATTATGACAAATTGCGATATGTATTTGCAAGTGTTAAATCATCTGGACCCTGATTGACGATGGGAAAGCTTAAGTGGGAAAATCTGAAGACGGCTAGGCTACGTATCTTCTTTTTCTAATATTGAGACTTGATATATGTGTGAGGTGCATAGTCCTTGCCCTTGTGGGTATTGCTTCACATGAAAACTAAAGCCAACACGCCTCGTAGAAAACATAAATAACAGGAGCACATGCATTGAAGTAGGTTGTGCTAGGTTCATATATAGGAAAAATCTCTTAATTATGTGATAGATGAATCAATTGTATTCTATCTTGCTTTTGACTTTTAAGGTAACGTATTCATTTCATGCAATTTTACCCATATGGTTAATCGTTAACGTATGTG